TCCCATCTAGGAAGAGAAGGGGAAAAACACACACAAAAAACAGTTGTTTATAATTGCTCAAAATGTTCTATAATCACAGAATTAAAAAAAAAATAATCATCAGGATCAGATGTTTATGAAAAGCTGCTCTGTAGCAGCCACCCCCATGCAAAGAAAGGCAAAGGGCTTTCTCCTTTTTGTGTTGTTGATCTACAATAATTCGATCTTTACTTAATCTGTTTTAATAAAGCAGTCACATTGCAGCAGAGTTTGTTGTTGTGAATTCTAGATCATTCCCACATGTTCTGTCTAACATCTGCTTGGTGTTTGAAGCCAAAGTTTCCCCTTTTTCTGTAGGCATCCAGAGCCATTTGCTTCTTAAGCCAACGTCGGGATGACTGACAGGAAATTAAAGTTGAATTATGTAGCTTTGGAGAAGTGTACAGAACAATACATTACAACAGAATGCCCAGTTGAAGAAAATGAAGTAAACGAAAGTAACTGCAGGTGGTCTAATCTGTCCTTCATGTGCTTGGCCATGACTTCCCACCCTTGCAGAAGGCCACGGTGCCAGGGGGGAGCCGACACGTCGCGGCCTGGCCCGGGGCCCGTTGTGCAGTTCTTGGTGCAGACAGCAGAACTCGGGTTATAACTCAGCGACTGCATGACTTGCATGGCTGATTACAATGGGGGGTTTGTCATAGACGTTTTTAAAACAGCTGAGAGGAAGTTTTGGCAAGAGCACTGTCACACACACACAGTTTCTGAATAGCAGGACGTTGTTGGAGATGTATCTCTAGGGGTGCTGTTCGACAGCAAGCTTGGATGCTCGGTGGCTGGGAACTGAGGGAAAATGTGGTTGGCCTGCCAGAAAACTGAAACAGTGAGAGGACATTGGGAGATTATAAACCACTGGCTCCGTGTTTCTGACAAGCAGCTATGTTGTCCCTGCCATTTGTCATGGCCCTGCACCCGTACCATCATACTTGGGGCAGCGTTGAGAGCAGCTCCATGGAAGAGCTTCAGAAGCCTTCCATCAGCTGAACCCTAGTCTAAGCAGGAAAAGAGGAGGTACCAGCCTCCCTATCTCCCTGCCAGGAGTCCAGGTCAACAGTCTTCAGCTGCTTCTTATTGCAGAGTGCTCATCCTTGGTCATACCCCACTTAAAAGTGATGCGATGTGGAATACCGAGAAACTGTAGTGTCTGAAACAATATGATTATTTTTTTCATCAAAATTCCTTCCTAATGCCTGCAAAGCCACCGATTGCTTAACACAAAAACATGCAGCTATAGCATGGTAAGGATGGCTGCGGAGTGCGGATGAAAAAGCATTGAACCGGGTTTCAGCTGAACGGTTTGAGCAGGGTTGCGTGTGCTGTTAAATAGGATTACTGCCACCAAGCAGGGGGGCCGGCGAAGAGCTGCGTGAGGAATGCCTCTTCAAAGAGGCGACCGACTGTTCCTTCCTCGCCTCGAGCTCTCCCAGCCGGGCTGCTGCCGCGCCGCGCTGTGTTTTATGGTGTGAACATGCTCTGTGTCTGCTGCTGCTCAGAGCACTGCTCTGGGACGTGTTCATGCAGTATCCTGAGAGGCTTTGGCCCCCCCCCAGTCAACTTTATGCCCACAGAAGCAGAACCGTGCAGGTCCTTGCTGCTCTCGGTGCTGTGCCTGCACAGAACTGCTCTGCTCTTCTGGAGAAGCAGCACGGAGCAGGCCGTGGGGGTGAGGAGGCCGCGCGGGATGGAGCACAAATGGAGTTTTAACTGCTACCAGACCTTAGCTTGATGTATGTGTGAGGCTTAGTGTAACTGCTGCCAGACCTTCCCGTTTTTCGCTTCTTTTCAAGAATGTCGTGGGAAAACAGGCCTCACCACAAAGCTAGAAATGTCTCCTTCCTATGTCGTGAGGAGAGTTCGTCTCCATGGGTTTCTTTTTAGTCAAAGTGCCAAGGCGTGGTGTTCTCAGGTACAGCTGTACCTAGCTGCTCCTTTTGCTCCTGGGGGCTTCTGAAAGCCTAATGTACTCTGTAGTCACTGAAGCGTTAATACAAATAAATTCTCATTTACATATTTTATAAAATGTGAAAAAAATTGCATTACATGGAGTTTGAGGGCAATGTGAAGGTTGGCAGTACCTCACAGCAAGCTGTGTACCTGAGCATGCCTTGCTGAGCAAGGGAGACCTCCCGTGTCCGCAGGGTACCGAAAGGTCCTCTGCTCTGCTGGCAGTTTTCTGAGGACTGCCAAGGAGGTGGGGTGGTGATGATTCACCTGGACGTGGTCCATCAGCGCCGTTCCCGGCTCCAAATCCTCTCAAATACATCACTTGAACAACAGATGCCAGAAATTGTTGGAAAGCCAATAATGTAAATAACTTAGATATTTCTAGGAAGCCCTGATTTCCAGAAAAGTTTCTGTGTCTTAGATGATTCTGTGCAAGGGATTTGTAAATATCTGTGATCAGTAATGTCTATATTAAAAACCAGCAAACATTTGCTCTACTCAAACATAAGGAATGTGTTTCGTATTTGTCAGCTAGACATTGCAACAATATTTAGAGAAGTGGTCTTAAGCTTTGAATTCTGTTTTATTTAATGATTTTTTTTTTGGTAATTATAAGGGTTCTTAGTAGTAGTATTGTTGTCTCAATTCGCTTAATCCAAATTATCAGTAAGTTTAAAATGTTTTTTCTTCTCTGTAAATAATATCAGGTGTAGAGTGCTTGCAGACCTCTTCCATGAAAAAAAAAAAAAAAAAAAAGAGAGCACTGGTTGCAGATTCCCCAGCTTCATATTATTCTTTCTACAACTTTGAACTAAAATATTTCAGATGAAAATCTGCTCTATACAGAGAAAAACATAAGGTACTTTTTGTACCGAAATGTTGCACCAGAGACCTCTGAAGACCTCCCTCCCATCTCTGCCACTGCTGCACCCTGAGGAAGAGGGGTGAGTGCACGGGGCAGAGCCCGATGCTGCTGCGCCCCTGTCCTCGCCTGCTGCACAAAATCTGAAAATCACCTAAGTGCAGATGATACTGCTGTTATCATACCTGCTACCACAGGAAGCTTTGCTTTCTATGTGCTTTTTTTAAGAGTCTTGCGAGAAATGACCTTATTGTAATTTTTCACTTCTTCAGTAGCACTGAGCTTTCACTCAGAGCTTCCACCCCTACTTCCAGACATGAATTGCTCACATAATCTCAAGAACACCATTTATTTTTTGTTTCTAAGAAACAGCGTATCATTATGGACTCTTGGATTTCCAAATCTGGGGCAGGAGAAATTCCACGACCATATGCCATTTTTCCATATTTGGTTCTGTTAACGTTTTATGGGTTAATACACTGCAGAAGGAAGGAAATTCCTACAGCTGCATTGCAAACATAAGAAAAAACAATGACTGGGAGTGAATAATTTTAGACCTTCCCTCCAGTTGTCTGTTCTCATGGCACGCTGTTGCTTTCTTATTACATGTGTAGTTCTGTGGGGGGGTATCTATACATGCTATTTATCTGTGTGATGCTGATCTAAGATATACAGGATGATTAAATACGCTTTTTAAGTTTTCTCATGAAAACTGGTCTTTCCAATCTGTTCAAAAGTTGCCTTTTCTGTTGTGTCTCATCTTCCATGGTTGAATTGTTTCAAGGAGACAAAAAACAAATGGGGATGACATCACGTCTGAGGCAGCTCACCATGGGCACAGCGGAGAGCTATCAGCATCCCCTGTGTGCTAAAATAAATGAATCGAGTAACTCCAGGAGGACCTACAAAGTCCAGATCTGTTGGCTTCTGCCAGTCAGGGCTTGCAATGAGCAGCAGTGCTCAGTATGAACCTTTCTCACACATTTAAACATTTAAAGGCACTTTTTTTTTTTTTCTCCTCTAAATATCTACTTACACTCTTCCATTTGCTCACTTAATTATCAGTGATCTCACTGATAGGGATCAGAATAGAAGCTGATTCAACATTAAAGGACTTAGAGACGTGGCAATGTCTCTAAGCATTACAAAAATAAATGCAGCAGCACCGTGTCAGTATTTTTGTCTTTGAAATGCATAAACATGATGATAATAGTATGTTATACCAAAAATATTCCATCTGCTTTGTCTTCAGGGGCAGAGACCTATATGCAAAATTATTCATAAATTCAGGGGACATACTATGAAATATGTTCATAGTTTCAGGGGGATAAGCTTATGATTTTTTATGGGGAATAATTTTTATGGGGAATTCCAGCCTTACAGGGCTGGAAGCTAATAAATCAAAACGTTATATAGGAGTAAGTTTGTCACTTTTTCACTGAAGTGAGCCTGTGCAGGAGAAGTGATACTTGACAGCACTTTGATCTTTGCACTGTATTTTCTTTGGAAGTAGTTTGGTTTTGTGTGTGTGTGTGAAAAAAAAAAAAAAAAAAGGATAATTAATCTAATGATATAGATGAAAAGGACTGGGATATGTACTGAAACAAATGCAATGGCTGCTTGAAACTGGTGGGTGATGTGTTCTGAAAGATAACGTTTAGCTAAGAGAGTATAAGACAAAATATATAGTAGCACTAAGTCAGTTTCAATATTTTAGATGAAGTAGCATTAGTGGTTTATTTTCCTATCCACCTTCCATGCTTCTGCTCTGCATTATGTACAAATGTGTATATGATTGAACACACTTGTATTTACATTTGGTTGAATTTGATGTTTCCTGGGAGAATAAAAAATAACACAGCTTCTTGCTGTTCAAGCCAGCCTGTGCTCAAGTATGAATAAAAATTGGAAGGCTGTTCTGAAATGAAGTGTACAGCAGCACAGCAGCGCTCCAACCTTTTCAGTAAACATAATTGTTATTCCCAAGAAAATAAAAGCATCTGGCTTGTAAGCAGAGAGAAATCAGGTATTACAGATCACCAAGCTGCTTGGCACAGAGGTGGGCACAGGGACGGGCGGCTCTCCGGCCGGAGCACCCGCATAAAGCATGCTGTGCCTAGAAGGGAATGACCTGAATGCCGTGTTTCCATTGCAGATTTAACCAACCAAGTAGAGACAACCGGACTCAAGCTGCAGAAAGTAACAGCGGAAATGGACCACTACAAAAAGCTGCTAATGTAAGGTTTCTGTTTGCTTGTTTGTTTTGCCACTGGGCATACAGCTGTGGCTGGGCACCTGCTGCAGAGAGGGACCTGTGCTGCTGCCTGTCTGAGTGGTCTGTGATGGCTACGGCCAGCAGAGGAAATATTTTATATTTATATTACACAGTCTGTGTTTCTAACCAACTGATTTAATGTGGCTCTCTGAGGGAGGGGGCTTGCTTTCTCCAGCTGTGTCTAAGGACACAGCAAAGAGGAAGGTTAAACCAGCTCAGTCTGACACTTCATGTAATGCACACGTGTAGGATACATTTTGTGAAACCCACATAACTTCTGGACTGAAAATGTGCATGGAAAGCAGTCTTTCACATTGCAAGTTGGGGATGGAGGGCAGGGTGCAGTAAAGCTAATCAGAAACGTTAGTGTTTAATCAGTGACTACAATTTGTTTCCCAAATGTAAATTTACTGAGAGTATTCCCCATGCACCAGTAAGTTATGATTTGTATTTTACTGTGTTGTATGATTTAAAATAAGAAAACACAAAGCCTGAATTAACAGAGAAGAGAGAACATGTCACCAACCATTTATCAGAGCTAACCGAGGAAGAGAGAGCCCCCCTGCAGAGCTGTGCCAACCCACACCAATTACTGAGCTTATCTGCTTTATTACCCTGCTTTATTTTCCCTTCTGGGTGGCTCTGTGGGCAGCCTTTTTTGCCCAGCAGTGGAGAAGGGAAGGTCCCCCCGCTGCAGGGGAGGCCGGCCGCTGGGGCACGGGGCACTGCGAGCTCCGTCCTCAGCGCATCCCGATCCCGAGCAGCAGCTTGGGACCCCGGGGTCCCCTCAAACACAACTGTTAGAAGTACACAGAGGTCAGTGAGAGCAGTCACCACCTTTAAAAGCCAGAGCACTGGGGGTCTGAGTGCTTTCCCGTGTTTAAAATCCACAGTGCTTGCATAGAAAACAATTCAGCCTGCACAGTACACTAGTGAAAATAAATGTCACTGCTTCAAATATGAAGCTCGAGGGTAGGGCACAAGCATGGACAATCTTGAGACAGAGCTATCATCAAGCTTTTTCTATATTTTCCTGAAATTCAAAGAAGGATTCTTGTCTGAGGCGTACTCTCTGTTCTCAGCCCCTATATTCACAGGGGCTGATCATAACACAGTTGCAAATATTTGGAATGCTTAGCAACAACGTATTTCAATGATAATACAAGTATCATGTACAAAAAAAAAGATTTAATGAACAGAGTTAAATAAACAGTACAGTGTTTCTAAATGTAATATTAAAATTTCAGTGTAATATGGGTGTAATTTAATAAAATAACATATTCTATATCTGTTTAAGCATAAATATGAGGCTTTGCCATGGTTATTAATTGATGAAATGGTGACATAATGAGAAATAACCTTCAAAGTTTCCAGACCTCTTGCATACTAAATTGTTATTTGTTCCTTTTTGTTCATATCTTGCTTGAAACATTCATCAGTGTTGCAAGCTCCCACTTTGTTGTTTGCAACAATAAACTTTTTGTGATCCTGGGTTAGGCTGGGTTTACACTGCAAGTATAAACCGTGTTACTTAAAAATGTTAGCTGGAACTAAGGGAGTTTTGTTGTTGTTGTTGTTATCTGCATTTTAATTAAATAGAAAATGCAAGGTAGATAATAGATTAATTAATGATGTTCAGGTTATTGCGTGAGTAAAGACTGTCATTGCTTTGCACAAATTAACTTTTTAAAAACATTTTCTTAGGATGAAATCAACAGAACTCGATGTCTGTCAAAATGAACTGAAAAAAATGAAATACGAGAATGGAATTTCTGAGTCAAGGTAAATGCTGAAACTATATCTCATGACATGTACATTTCTGAGCAATAAGAGCAAAAATTTTATTTTATGGTTTTAATGCAGCTTCTATACAATCTTTTTTTTTCTCTTTTCAGTTTCTATTTTTGTGTTCAAGTCACTAGATTTAACTTCATAAGGAATGAATACTTTTTTTTGTCTAACATTTTCTCTTCCAGGTACAGATTATTTCATCTGCTTAGTTTCTGTTAGTAAATGAGGATGTGATAACTGTGGTGTTGATACTGCTTTTCTCTTTTCATTTCATCTGTAGACTTACAAAAGAGCTCAAGGAAAAGGAGGAATCTCTACTGATTTCCCAACAAGTATGCAAACATTTACAGGAAGAGGTGGCTGAGAAGGAGAGGAGAGAGGAAGATCTAAAAAGAAGAACCAGCCGATCAGAAAGTGAACTGGAAACACTTAAAGCTCTTCTTCAACAAACAGAGGAGGAGGTGGTGATGTTGAAGCAAGAAAGGTAATCAGAGCTGAGTCACCACAGATAATCGCTATGTACACTCACCCTAGGTTTTCTTCTTGGACATCTCTAAAAAGTTAAGCATTCCTCCTCTGCCAGGTCCTCACCCCTCTGGCTGTTACTGGAGCCTGGCTACGGGCACTGGGCAGACTGGGAGAGAGGCGCTGTGCCCAGCTGTGTCCTGCCCCTGCCCTCGGCCATCTGCTCCTACAGGCAGGACAGCCCAGAGCCCTGTCCCAGAACTGTGGAATTCATTGGATGGGGTTTTTAAATTATTGGAGTATAGGCAAAAGCTGAATAGAACAAACAATGCCTATAAAGAAAATAAAAATAGGAAAAAAGAAACCCAACAGCCCTGCTTTGCAATGCAGGGCAATCCTGCTCAAGCTTAATCAAAACACCTATTTGTTGCCGTTGTTATAGTTGCTATTTGTTATGTGAGCCTGTAGAGCAAAAGCCCTGGAGACTTTAAATTCTTGTAACTTCTGTTATTAGCAACTTGCAAGCGGTAACAATGCTGTAAATACTGCAATATGGCAGGTTATTGGGTATGGCTGAGAATTCAGTGAAGTGTATGGACAGCTTCCTGCCAGTCTAATCTCATTCTGAAGGTCCTCAGCTGCTGACAAAGCTAGCCTTTTCCCTGTAATTACTTTTCAGATGGGGAAAATAAAGCACTGAGCTGCAGAGGCTTGTTGCTTCCTGGAGTAGTATCCGAGTGCCTTTGTTTTAGACTTCTCCACTTATCAACCTAAATCCACATTTTTTCTTTAATTGCCTTGAAAAATCTACATATTTGGTTTATTCCTAACATTCACCGAGTTGTTTTTAAAAGTGTCTTGCTACTACATTTGCAGTTACTGATAAATTAAATTGTCTTTTATTAACAACATAGAAAGTGCTGTCCCTTACTTACGACATGGCAGTACATTATTTGTTTGATTTGGGAAAATACATTTAGAAATGTGGGTTTTGGAGAAGATAAGGATTTTTTGAGATAGTAGTGTACACAAGAGGCATGAAGCTATTTTTACATCTAAGGGGTTTCAGTATTTACTGTACGTGAGTACCTGCATGAAAAGATACTACATGTTAATTTAAGAATATTTTCAGTTCAGTGAGTTGTTCCAGTCAGTACATTGCTGATAATCTAAGTTACAAGAATTTAAACTCTCCGGGGCTTTTGCTCTACAAGCAAAACATAACAAACAGTAACAATAACAATAGCAACCACTTGGTGGTTTTAATTCAGGAGCTATTAGATTTTAAAAAAATAATGATAGTAATATCCTGAGTTCATTAAATACAACAACTTGTTTTGAGTGTTATAAAAGTTAGTATTCATCTTAATTTGACTTGAGCATTATGAATATATTTGAGGTTTACACATGTATATATGGAAGAATGATCAACTACAGTATTTTCTTTAAAACACAAATTTCAAAAACTGTGTGACAGCAGTATGCAAATACAAAGTAGTGATTATGGTTGTGCCTCTGGGCTCCGGACAGGATTGTTAGGCTTACTGCACAGAATACTAAACAAAGAGGAAAAGATGAGCCCTTGCCACAAAGGCCTTAATTGAAGGAAATGGCACACCACCAATCTGGGCAGAGCACGTATTTACATACGAGTTTTTGTGGTTTCTAGGGAGTTAATGCTGATTTCTCATCAGAACAGAACAGAGCAGCTGCAGGAAACATTAAGACAGAAGATGCGGAATGAAGATAACTGGAGGGAGAAGGTAACGCTGGATGTGTAGTTGGCACAGTTTCCATTTCTTCTTTTTTCCAGCTCTAGTCAGCTGTCACAAAGCTGTCCCGCCAGGCAGATCCCTGCCTCCTCAGGTGCAGACACGTCAGTAGGATTCTTTGTGCCAGAGGTCTCAGTGGGTGATCTCTGCACAGGCTGGAACTGGACCTAAACGGTGTTGAGTGTGAGCGTTTACAGGCGTGGGTGCTCAGACTGGATCTGGACTGTCGGGGAACTGAAACTGGGGGTGGCTGTTTGGGAAACAAATCTATAAAATAGCAAAAATGTCCTCTCCCTAGAAGGACAGGCATTTGCAAATCAAAGCAGAGCCAAACAAACGAGCTGTTGTAGCGTGTTAATTCCGGAGCTGTCACAAGCTGTGGAAGAGCAGGAAACTCAGGGGTTTGATGTGAACCCCTAGCTCCTGCAGCATCGGGGCAAGCCTCACGTGCATGGTGAGGAGAACGAAACCCCTAAAGCAGCATCCATTCACACGAGGTGGGCTCATCGCCACAGAAGAGAGCTAGGGAGCTGTGTGTGGAAGTCCCAGAGCTAGGAAGGCCTCCAGCACATGAGAGGCGCCTGCTTTTCCTGCTGCCCTGTGCCATCAGCTCCTTTTAGGCAGCAGCGTCTCTACCACACAGGCTCCTGCTGATGGCTGCTGTTCTTACGTGGCTTCCCCTCGGAGCAGAGCTGCGTGGAGGTGAAGAGTGAAATACCTCTGCGCTGTTTGAGAAGACCTCACACTCCTACAAGTTAGCTTCTCTGTGAAAGGGCCCAGCCTGTGTGATTTTAGTCGCTGGTTTCTTCAGAAGCCTGCAGAGCCCCCCTCACACGCCTCCCCCCAGGCTCCTTTGGCAGTTCCTTCGTGGTGAGGGCAAGAGAGAAGGTGTGAGGGAGAGCGATCGACCTCCCGTGTGTGTGTGTGAGACTTTATACGTGCCCGTCTGTAGCTGATGGGGGAAACAAAAAATACACACAAAAAACAAATGTAAGAAATTATTTAAAAAAAATGTGAAGGAAGAACTGCAAACGGTGTTGAACAATAACTCTGACATTTCTGATTTAGGCCTTACATAATTGGTGACTAAAATTACTGTCTTTTTCGGGTTTGGTTCAGGATGTGATAAGTATCTGAAAGCTTTATTTAGGCTCAGGAAATTTTTTGGACTACCAACAATTAAGATCTGTTACATTTCTTTTAAAACTTCTTAACCTCTGTGTGGCAGGATATAATTTTGGAATGAGGTCACACTGTCTGCATAATCACAACGTGTTGTTCAGCGTGACATTAAAACAAGATAAAGGCTGCTGCTAGGAGGAGACAGCAATTACATCTTTGGTATCACAGCCATTAAAATGCGGTGAACGTCAAGTACTCTAAGGATGTTCTCATCAGACAGGAGTCAGAAATGTGACAAAGTTATCTTTTCTTGGGTCAGTGTGCCATTGCCTAAGTATGAAGTGTTCTGGTTTTATATGTAAAATGCAGATAAACCTTAAATTGTGGTGGGTCAAAATTTTTTCTTTTACAAACGACTTTAAAATCGATGTAAGCATTTGTGAGTTTTTTGATATGTAATTAATGGGGAACACATAAGTAGTTTTAAAGCAGTTGGTAGTCATTATGCTTTCTTTGGAGCTCACCTATCGTTTTATTTCCTGTTGTGGTTATCAGCTACTGGCTTCAAACGTTAGACGTGAAAAGTGCTTGCATAAGCTTCGGAATGAGCTCAGGTTTTTGTACTGCTTGTATTTTTCTAGTCTTAGTCATCAAGTAGCCTCCAGCTCACGACTTGCTTCTATAATAATATGTAGAGTTAATAAATAAGTTTTTCTGTGGTTAGAAACCAAACTCCTGTATCTAATAAATACAGACGTATCTTCTACGTTATTGCAATAATAATAATAATAATAATAATCGTGGTCTATTCTGAGGGTCTTACAAATGTGCCAGTGTTAAACTAAATCTCAGGGGGGGATTTGTGCCCATTCAATGCCCAGAATTGTGTATATTTTGATTTTTAAAATAATTACAATATTTCTAGTTTATCTTTTCCCCCCAAAGAGTTAGAGGAATTTGTAACACTCTTGCTCATAATTAGTGTACAAAATTAGATTGCTATAATTAAGCTCATTCTGGGCTTTTAATAATTTTAAATAACTAGGATAGTGCAGTGCTTGTTTAACACGACTTTTATATTCTTTCAGCGTACGACAATTAAGGCCATTAGAATGCAGCCTGCAGCAGTATAATATTAGCAAACCGGCTTAGGAAAAAAAACACTTCAAAACACAGCCGTCAGTATTTCTTCCAGAATCCAGGCTTTTATTTTGAGGCGATTATTGCTGGATTTTCAACTTTAAATTCATAACACTTAATACATGAGATGCTGTAAGGACTGGGATGTTTTACCCACAATTTGTAAACCTTTCACTTACTCGTCTCCACTTTTGATGCAGAGCTTCTCCAGTGTATATACCATCCGAGCAGTGCTAGAACATTTGAAGAACAATTTAAAAAATGAAAAAAAAATAGTGATAAGTGAGCCGAGGTGGATAAGAGCTCCCATCCTCCAGCTCTGGGAAGCGATGGGTCCATGCAGCTGCCTGCCCGTCGGGCACCGGCCGGTGTGGGGGGAGGCTCTCGGGTATGCTCCTTCCCCTCTGTTTTGGTGCTTGTGACAGATGTAGTGGACGCAGGACACATTAGGGGACAGGGATGCAGTGCTAAGATGCTCCATACCTCCAAATTTTGGTTAGCACCTGCGGTATGTGTGTGCTGTGAGCAGGGCCCCTGGGAACCAGCAGAACCTCTGCGTATGGCACGTCGTTATCTACTGCGAACGGCAGAGCGTGCGTAGAAAATGATTTCATAAGCCAGCCAGTATTTTTTATTTTAGTTTTGAGCTTACGGTCTATTTTTAGCACAGCATATCTCACTCACTGTGAAAAGTTTCATTTTGCTGCGCTTGGAAGTAATAACGAGCAGAGGTTTACCTCCAGAGCAAATGCTTCCAGCAGAATAACGATCTGTTCTCAGGGCTAGCCAGGGATTTTGTGAATCAGCATTTCGTGGTGACCCAGAGTGAAGCCTGGCTGCCCGTGGGAGGCTCGTAGCACCGCTGGAGACGCCGTGCCCTGGGCAGCGAGCTCCTCGCGGCTGCCCCTGGGGCTCGGAGCTGGAGGGGCAGTGGGGTTGGGGGAGCTCTCGCTGGCTCAGGTGCTTGCAGGCGGTCGGATGTGGTTGTTCAGCTCCCAGCGTCTCAGTCTGCCAAATTTCACACCACTCATTGCAGTACTGTGAAATGTGAAAAATAAATCCTGAGATGAGTTGCACCACGTCGTTAAAATGCGCTTGTTCCCTAGATGGAGATTGATCTGGCCAAAGGTGAAGCACGACACAAAGAAGCGATTCTCAAAGTCAAGGAAGAAGCAAGAGTGGAACTAGACATTGAAAGGCAAAAACAGCAGGAATTGATCACAAAATATCAGAGAGATCATGAAGAGCTCCAGAAGAAGGTGTGTGACACTCGAGGGAAAAATAGTGTGGCAGTGGATCACGTAAACCCTTGAAAAATAGTATGTGAAGGAATACAATCTTCTTTATGTGTAGTCCTGTGTCTCGATGATGACTTTTTCCTGATCTTAGGATATAGCAGGTGTTTGACATTTTGGAAAATGGAACAGGCTGATATGTAGTTACTGTGGTTGTGGATGTTTTATCAGATTTTCTCTATCCAGAGTTCATCTGTGTCCACAAACTGTAGCTGCTAACAACTGACAATGTCGTATTTTAAAAGCCTTTGGACTGTTTGAGACTATGACAGGTTGTCACAGAACCATCTGCACTGCTTTATCCCTTCCTAAATGCATTCCTCACCGACGGGCTAAGGTCCAGTTAATGCCTTCCCTTGTTTGTTGCATCACACACAATTGGCCAGTGCTGTTACCCAGACATAGAGTGTTTGAGGTTTCATGTAGAAACCGAAAAATGTGCCTATTGCCTTAGTTTTCAGAAGATTTGACATGTCACTTGAGAATTCTGGAAAAATCAAATAAATTTGATGAAATTATATTGTTATTTAAAATTCATTACATTACACAGTGTTTTAAAGAACAATTTATCACAGTTTGCTTTACAAATATGATTTTAGAACCCAGAAGAAATATTGGCTTGCTGTAAAGAAATTAAATTTCCCCATTTTTACCACTATTTCTCTGTTTGATCTTGGTCATATTAATTAATCTCTGCTCTGAGGGAGTTTTGATACACTTAGAGCTCTCTGATATCCTCTGAGAATATAATGTAAATTCAAAGCATTTTCTTTGTCTCTGAGGACCTGCATGCTTGCATTTCTACTTTTTTTTTTCCTGAAGTCATTTGTCTAATAGTTAATTCTACGTGTCTAAAGATAACCACTGAATGTAGACTTATGCAACATTTGTCGTGCAGATACCTGGATTAATATCAAGTGCCACCAACAGCTTAAGGATGGAGGCAGAAATTCTTGAAAAGAAGTTACAAGATGTCCAGATCAAACTTGCAGAGAAAGATGAAGATAAAGAAAAGGAAATTCAGGACCTTAAAAGAATAATTACTGAACTTGAATTTCAGCTGGAGATGGAAAAGAACAATAATGAATCATTTCTGGATAATATGAGGAAAGAAATTAAACACAAGTCAGATGAACTGGAAAAATTAACCCAGGAGAGGACACAGCTGATTCATAATTTGAGTCAAGTTCAAGAAGAGGTAGGAACATGACCAAGGAAATGCCTTGCTATTTTTACTTTGAGACATGTGATTTCTAGAATCATTCAAAGCATACATTTTTTCAGACCCTGGTACACACTGGCTTAAAAACAAAACAAAACAAAACCTTTAAATTAAAAGATTTATGAAACAAATTCGTAGTAATTTCATCAATACAAACTATCACAAGATGTGTGAAATTTTTAATTAGACAAACATTTAAAATATTATTTTATTTAAAGAAAACATTTTCAGGTCTTTTAAGATCCTTCTTTCTTAGACTGTAGCCTCACATCCCACTATACAAATAAGTAAACAATAAAGCATTCTTCAAGGTTCCTGAGCAGAAGACATGGATATTTCTCATTTGGGTTTGTCCCACCTCCAACCAGTAAATCCACATTCTGTAACACAATTGCATAAAAGTGATCAAATATGAAGAGAAATTTGCCTGCTGGATATTCTTGCCACAAGCATTTGCTGAATGTTTGGAGTATTGTGGGAAGGGAGGAGAGGGAGCTGTAGTGCTGCATGAGAAATGTGAAAACAGTGGAGTCAGGGACTGCAGATAAGATTAGACTGGAATGTTTGAAGTAATTAGTGGCAGAAGAAATTTGATAAACAGTGAAAATGAAACTCTTCAAAATGAATTAGGTCTTGGGTTGATGTTTATTTCATGCATGAGAGAGGTTCAGAAGCACTGTGTTGGTGGCATGGGAAGGATGTTGGCAGTTGTTCTGTCCTGTACGTGTGGGAAGGGCTCTTGGAAAGGCGTGCTCTCCAAGTATTGATCGGGAACTTTGGTGTGGTCAGGAGCACACTGTTACACCCTGCCGTGAGCTTCCTTCAGCTCCACTTATGTTCTTAGTTTTCCCACTCCGAAGCATAGTTCTTCTTCTCATATAATGGTATTAGGAAATGGAGAGGTCAGAGTGGCTGAAAATCAAAACTGGTTGTAAAACAGATTTCACACTAGGATAATCTCTCAGATTTTCGTGGTAACACTTCCCAGATCAGTTCGTGGACTATCAGTGACATCTGAGTGGCAGAGAGACCAAGGTCTAACTTCATGTCATTAAGCTGCCTGCAAAATTAGATATTCAGAGAACAAATTATTTTAGATATTCCCATCTCTCCTACTTCTGCAAGCAGTTGTGTTCCTCCTCCTACCACTCCTTCACCTGCGGTAGGTACAGAGGCTAGATTTAATCTAATCTAATTAGGTTCTAATCTAACTCAAGTGGTCAACAAAGAACTTCTATTTGCTCCATCATTTTTCAAGTTTTGAAGGGAACACACATCCAAAAAAATTAATAGTTTAATAATAGCCTTTTCTTGGCTAAACAGAACCTACCCCATTCCGGTTTGGTAGCAACATGTTCCTGTTCTGAATTTACTGATGCCAGTATTGTCCCTTCCAAACATCAAAAAATTGCCATTGAGATTATGCTTCTTACACTTTTTTTTTTTCTTTCCCTTCTATGTATTCACTGTCATCTCACTGTAGAGAATTTCAGACAGATGTTTGTCCTCACTTCAGAGTGGTATGTGGTTTGACCCTGCCCACCGCTCGTAGTTTCAGCACTAAAAAGGTCTACATAGAAATGTTTGTGTCCAGGCAGTGGGGCTGTGCACACCCCAGATATTCTCTATTTGACTTGCTCATCATTCTCTTTGTCAGAGACTGTCCTCGTGGTGGCTTCCCTTCCGTCCTCGTGTACCTCCTGGAGTCAACAGCAACTGCTTGCTTAGAAGAGCGCAGTTAGGAACGTGGCTGTTTTTTGCTTCTGTCAGGGGTTCTGACTTTCACGAGTCCACTTAGCATGTTGCCCTTTGTTATTTATTGACTTTTTATTTCAGCTGGAAAACAGAAAAGTTAGCATCACAGATAAGTTCTGCATAATATACTGACTTGGGGACCTCTGTCATACGGGAACAGCTTCAGTTGTCTGCTCGAGGATCACTACTAGTCATTTACCACTTGGGTGTCAGTAATCACAGTGAAAAGTTTGTGAAAACCACTAGATAAATAATCGTTTATCAGAATTATTTGTGAAATAATAATCAATAAAGTCACAAAAAATCAGTTCACAACTGCTTAAACACAGAGGATGATAAGTTCTGGGACATCTTATCATAATAAAGTGGCAATGTAGTACTGGGACTCTACGTTGCTGTTTCCTTTCCAAGAGCAGGATTCCCAGTTCCCCTAGTTGGATGACAGGCAGGACATCAGAAGTAGCTCCTGATAACCTACCTCACATTTTCCATTGTCTCCTGAGAGAATGAAGTATGTATAAATGCTGATGTATGTCCTTGGAGCAACTTCCAGGGGAACCAAAATACTGGGAAGCACCGACGGCTCTGCACGCATCAGTGCCCTCCAGGCACCCCTGCCTTGAACCAGAGGACTTTAATGGGCAGACTTTTTCCCTAATGGCATTTTGTAAAGCGAGTGTTTGTTTCTGTTTGCAGAACGCTCTTCTCCAGGAAACGGTGCGCAGAGAGTGCGAGGAACGCTATGAGCTGACTGCCGCTTTGACTCAAGCCAGGGAACAAGTGCTGGAGCTAAAAAAGCTCAGTGGAAACTTCCCGTTATCGCCGTGTTCCCTGGCTCAGGGCAGCCTAACCTCCTCAGCTGCCCTGCTTGGTGATTACGGACAGAAAAGCCGCCCCAGCCCCAGCTCGGGGAAGGAAATCAATCTCTCCGGACAGTTCGGTATCTCCAGAGCCGCTAAGGCGCCCACCTCCAGTAAGCGTGGCGGCAGCGTGGCTCTGCCAGCCCTCAGCCCGCCGCATCCTCCCAGAGGCCGGGCGTCCTCCCTGAATGAGCCCAGGAGCAGGATTGCTGCGGTTATAAGGAGACAGCTGAGTCAGCTCTGACAGCTGCATGCGCATACGTAGCACACGGGGAACTATTTCAGAGCACAAATGTCCATTTACTTGTGGGTCCTGGGGTCAGATATTACTGGATGCAATTCATGCTTTCCTACAGATTAAAATGAAGTTAAATTATTATATATTTTTGATGCAAATGTTTTTTTTGTCCACTGAATATCAGTGTAATTAAATGCTATCTACATTTCGAGATGAGAACAGTATGAAGGAAAAACATTGCCTCTCCGAGAGGAGCAGATCTTCAGGAGGTGTAATTAAAATAATTGCCAATTTCAAATGCTGTCTTCCCCAAACCACTTTGTTGGATTTTTCCTCTTTTGTATGTTGTTCTGTGTAGCTTCATTGTCTGTTTCTGGTGTAAAAATGTGTTTTGATCGGTTCGAGTCAGGTATTTGCAGTTGCCTAATGGAGCAGTGGGGTACTTGCACGGACTTGGGAGGCTCTGGTGCTGGAGCACACAGCGTGGACATGCGACGAGTCCTCGTGCTCGCTGTGCTGACCAGTGGCAGGCACACACCTTCCCTACTGCTTCTGTGTACGAGTCTTCTCCTCGTGCTGGCTGACAAGGAGGTGAGGACTTCCTGGCGATGCTTGTGGTGGTTGATGTAATCTGCAGTGCAGCACTGGGATTTGATGTTGAAGTGCTGCGGAGATGCACGCAGTGATGCCTCTGTACTGAAAGCAAGGGCAGAGCACAGGTGGGGAAAGCAAATTGTCCCGTTTTAGCCCTTGTATAACAGAATACCCCGTTCCACCTTGTACCCATTCGTGCCGTGGTGCCCCTGGAGCCACGCACGCAGGGCAGACCCCAGATCTGGGCTCAGGGCCGCTGCTGTAGTGCTTAGGTCCTGTAAGAGCAGCAGCTGTAAGGACTCACTGGGCATTGAAATACTGTAAGAAAGGAGTAGCACATAAACTAACGGCAGCAGCCACGGAAATAATATTTCTAGCAGGAGGGAGAGCATAAATCATGGGCCCAAGCAGTCGGGAACAGATATTTCCCGTATTTCCCCTACCTGACAGAAACCCAGGGCCCACGCTGCTAAGCAATAGACAAAGTGTTAGTATGAGGAAGCCTTGTTCACCAGTGACAAGCTTTTAAAAACAAATTAATTTCACGTAGTGAAAGAAAGTTTACAAAGCATTTCTCGCAACGGAATGAAACGCAGCAGCGCAGAACGCCACGGAGAGTGCAGACACCTAATTATATCCCCACATTTTCAGGAAATAAAGCTTCCTGGAGGTAATACATCTTGTACAAGTGGTGGCATTTATGAATGGGTTTTTCTTGTGCTGGACCTTGTACTCTAGGACTCACGGCACAAGGGAATAATGAAAAAAAAAAACAAAGTTGGAACAAATCTGTCTCTGTGGGTTCCTGACCCGCTGACTGCAGGAAGCCAGCCATCCTTTCACTTCTCAAGGTTGCAAGAAAATGTCCTACAGCAACGGGTTGTCTTGTTCTGGCCTAATGCAAAGGCTTCTGTTTTCCTCCTGGACAGTGCTGATATTGTTGCCAGATCGGGAGCAGAGTCCTAAATCTTTCCATGAAGCACTAACCCCGCTAGTAGACTGCCACTTTGCATTGCAGGGTACCCAGTACACCCGCCTGCCGTGTTATTGCCACATTTACCCAAATTTATTTTTAGCCAGTAGTCATAACTTCCAGGGGAGTTTCAAGCATTTGGAGTCTGTGGGGGCCTCCGTCTGCCCTCCCTGCCGGGCCTGGTTCCTCTGGTCAGAAAAGCCAGGGTCAGCAAAATTGGGCGGATGCTTTAGAGAAGGCTTCGTGCAGGCATCAAGCATCAAACGTAGTTTGGCCGCGGGCTGGTGGGCAAGGAAAAGCTCGGTCCCAGCAAGAAGCCTGGGCTCGGGCTGCCCCCACCGTGCTGCCTGCCTCACCTTGCACGCTCAGATTTAAAGCTCAGGCTGGATCTCGGTGTGGGTCACTACTTTTCCATTAAGTTTGCCCCAAATCTCTGCGTGCTGCACAGGTAGAAATGCAGAGAGAATCAAATCCAGTGCTGGTGGCACGGAGCTGCCTCGCTGCTGCTTTGACAGGAGGTGAAATTAGTGCTTGCCATATGTACCGAAGTGTTTGCCATCTGTACCGGAGATGTAAGTGCTTGCCATATGTATCAGAAATACTCCTAATATTACAAAATAAAGCAGTGATGTGCCTCATGTCTTGGAAATGATAAATAGCCCTTTAACCGAGTGAGTGTGTGCGATCTGGGATCGCAGCCTGTGGCTTGCACATGGAGTTTTTCCATGAAGGAATAAAGCAGACTCCAGAAAAAAATCATCTTGTATCTTAGCAGCATCGAGAGTATATGAAAATAGAAACCGGAGCCAGACCCCATGCCATATATCATTAAAATGTATTAATCAGAAGAAAACATAGACAGTCGTGTGTGTGTGTTGGTTTTTTTTTTTTTTTCACTTAAAGAGACAGTTGTGCTGTGAGACGTTCTTTGCTTTAAATTCTTGATTTGGCTCACAGTGTTTTATAAATTGAAGTATGCTGCATAAAGCACTGCACATTTTTTAACAAAAGAAAGAGCATAAGAGTGAAATTGGGGATATTTCCTATCAAAAGCCACATATCTTTATTTTAAGTTATTTAAAATGGGTTCTTACTTACGCAATGAGAATTTTGTGCTAGGTTTTGTCTTTATTTGTAGGTATTTAAGTTTGTTCTACTGAAGAAAGAATAAATTCCATATGCAACTCTAATGGTGTGAAATAATATAACCAAATATGTTTAGCACTTATGTGGCTTTTTTTCATCCTCAAAGCATAGTACGAAATTAATTTTGATAGGATAATAAAAAGGATACTGCACAAGATTAATGTTGAAGAGGTTTTAACACCGGAAATATAATTTGTGTGATGGAAAATATGAGCATCTGGCATTGCACTGCGAACTGTTCCCAGATAATGAAAAAAAAAAAACCCTTCCAAGCAAACATGGCCAGTTCCAGCAGCTTGTTTTCGCTCGTATCTCAGGAGATAGGGCCTATCTTCTGAAGGGAGCAAGCGACAAACCTTCCCTAGCTGCAGTTTTCCATCTGGAGCCTCGGGTTGCTGGTGAGCTGAGGTCAGTGCCAGGATGTGGCTGGGTTTCTTCCCAGTAAGCCAAAGGCTGATGGCTGCGTAGCCTGCAAAAGTAACACTTTCTGTTTGATCTACATATACGGGTCTGGTTGTAACCAGGCAGCTAAAACAAGCCCAGCTCCATCAATATTTCACTGCTACGTGTCGTCTTGAAGTTACGTCGCCGTACACAGCTCGCACCAGCTGGTTGTGGTTTGCCTTACACAAATTGAAACGGGCAGTCCTCCACAGCGTGCTCTTAATCAGTAAGAGATTAAGAACTTCAATAAATAAATAAATAAAAACCTGCTTTTAAAACATATTAAGACCAAAAGTGCCTACAGCTCGTATTATACCTTATTCCATCACTGCTCGTGGGATAAAGCCCCCTGTGCGTGCTCCAAAGCTCCTGTCCTGTGCCGAGGCAGGTTTCAGTGATCCAGCTGATGCGAAGGCAGCTGCCCTTCTCTCTGGGGGTGCCTCAGGAGACGTCCCTGTGAAGGGGCCAGCTGCAGGCTCTGGTCGCCTCCTGGGCACGCCGTGGTCTTTAGGGACCCGTGGGCTTTCCCCGCAGCAACAGGCTGCTCGGGGCTCTGGCACAGCCAGGGCTGGAGCCATGGAAGCGAAGCTGGGTGGGCAGGAGGGAGCGACCACAGGGCTTGAGGCTGAGCTGGAGAAAAGGCTCCCAAGCCCACAGGGAGCTGAGAGCAGTTTGGGGTGAGCATCGTGCCGCGATGGGGTGAGCATCGAGCCGTGGTGGGGTGAGACCTGCTCACCTGCTGCCCCCAGCAGCATCTTCAGACGTGCCCCGCGGGGCTGCCCCTTGTGCCATCTGAGCGTCTGGAAACTGAAAGGGAAGCGGGAATGACTGGCAGGCTGGAAAACCGATGTCATTATCACACTTAGATATGAGCAGGCTGTGGTTTGCCTTGCGTATGTTGCCTTTGTTCTTGGCCTTTTCGCTGTAGGTTTGTACCCTGTCGCCCTCTGTGTGCTTTGCTCCTTGCACGACAGCCACAGTGAGGGAGGTTTTGAGATTCGGCACTGATCTACGTGCAGGGCAGCTTTGAAACAGGGCAAATGGAGAGCAAGGAAAGCCATTCATTTTCGTCCCTGTGCAGCTGTCTGTGTGCGAAATGTCAGCGCATCCCCGTTTTTATGGGGCATGAATAAATAAACATTCTGCTTAGCTTTTTATGTATCCCATATTCGCTGTCACACACTGAACAAAATTAGGCACAAAACGGATGGGCTAATCCAGAAGCCATTCCAGTCAGGAAGCTCGTTTATTGCCCCAGAAAATGTCCCTGCCTCAGGTTCGAGCGCGGTGCCAGCCGTGTCACAGACCCATCTCGTGCTGTCCCCTCCCCGTGTGGGTCATGGCCCCGTGTGCTGGGGCTGTGATGGCCAAAGGGCTGTGCCAGGGCTCACCACGGAGGCCGGCTGTTCCCTGCACTCCTGTGACCTGCACTGCCCATTTAATGGGATGTTGAGTCAGGCTTGCTGCTTTGAAATCCATGTAGCTTTATGTATGTCCCCTAAATCAATCCATTTCTAAATGTTGGAAACTTGTGGATGGTGACACAGCATCATTTTAGCCTGCGCAGCCTGGCTTTGCTGGTTCCTCAGCCCCAGAGTTACAGGAACTGATTTGTTTGGGGAGCCTCCTGTTTCCAAACATGTTTCGAGTTGATGGAATATACCCTATTTTGACACTACTTTTTTCATCATTTTCTCTTTCCCTTTTCATTTTGTTTATTTATTTATTTTTAAAGGAAACACACCGATTTCAAGCAGTGACTTATTTATGGTTTAAAAAAAACAAAAGCCTGGAATCCAACTCGCATGTCAAACACTCTTCTCAGCTGTAGCACAATTTCGTTTCAGCGAACCTGGGCAGTTTTGCTTTCCGTTTCCTTGCCGGCTGCCCTCCCGGTGCCGTGGGTCAGGAACAGGAGCTCGTGGTGGCCCCGGAGCCGTGCCAGGGCCGTGGTCTGTGCCAGCGGCTGCTGGAACCGCTTCAAAGCTTCCCAAGGAGCTCAGCGCTGCAAACGTCACAGGGAGATTTTGGATGAAGCTGAAGCCGATCGCAGCGCACACGAGGAAAGGCAGCCGCAGTCAGCAGCGTGCAAAAGGTCTGTAATGATGCAAACAACGTTTGGACAAAGCACAGAAGGAGATAGCTGAGCAGATAGGTCAGAAAGCACAACAGGCGTGTGCTTTTAAGAGGTCTCTTCGGGTCTGTTTTGGAAGCAGCTTGCTCTCGGCACAGCCACAGACAGAGGAGTGGAGGTTCAGCTCCTTTCCACAGCCATTATGAAAAAAAGCAACAAACAAAAATGGGAATAAATGGGGTATCTGAACAGGGTTTTGCAACCGTGGAGCTTGTGACTCTTGCTGGCGTTTTTCTCCTTTTCTTCTCCCCCTTCCAGGCCAGTGAGTGTGGTGCCATCACACAGGGTTCGCACAACCTGGCTGCTGCCAGCTAACGAGCCAAAGTTTCCCTGGGTTTCCTTATCACTTCCATCACCTGGGCACAAACTGAGGCTGGTTTGCCCAAAGTGTCTTGGTGGCCACCTCCCTTGGCACCAGACGCACTGCTCTCCGTGGGGGGAAGCCTCTGAAGATCAGGAGCATTCAGCCACTACGGTGACAGGCACAGAGCGAGAAGTGCAGCGGTGAACACCCGTGGAGGCGTGGAATAACTCAGGGTGGGCCCCGTAGGAGCCACGGGATGACATTTAGCCAGGGAAAGTTGCAGCACAACACAAAGGAAAATGTCCTCACGCTGCGTCGTGGTGGCCATGGGAGAGCCTCCACAGGGAGCTGAAGCCGCCCCTGCTCTCTGAACACTGGTTTTCATGAATCATTGGCTTTTATGGAAATCCATTTAAGCACCCGTTTGTCCAGCTGCTTCCTGTGCATGTGAGGGATTGCGCTAGCTGCAGGATTTGGTTCAAGTTACCGGGGCTGAGTGGTCGCTTTAATCATCACGGCGTCCTGAACAAAGAGCCACATGTGTGCTCTGGGAAAAGGACCCCAAAAGGATCACCAGCAGCCTCTGAAAAGTGGCCAGAAAGAGGTCAGATGCTGGGGCTGATCTGCGGATGCTGTGGGTGTAACCAAGTAGCAATATTGCCTCAGCGCTTTTATAGACCGCCAGTTGCCAAGTTAATTATATTTGCTGATGTCTTTTTTGGGTTTTGTTTTTGCAGATTCCTTCTAAAAATAGCAATAGCACCTCCTCGGAGGGTTATGGAAGCAGTTGCTGGAGCTAGAACGAGGCCATAATTCATCTGCTAAATGTGGACGCGGGGAGCACTCGGGTTTGTAACTCCTGTGCTGTAAAGCCAAAGAACAAAACGCTGAATCTGGAGCCCAGGCTCTTCTGTGAGTTAGGATCCACAGAAATGCAGGGGAACACTTTCCTCTGGCTCTCCTTGGGCCAGGATGCCCCATACCCGCTGTGCTGACATCTTCCGAGGGAACCCCCCCTTACCCAAGGGGTCCCCTAGGAATGGAGGGGTTACACTGGCATGTGCACGCCTCCCTCCTGGCCTCACTTCGTGCCTCTGGCTGGGAAAACTTTGGGGCTCATTCAGCACAGTGGTGCCTGCCAGCCTGCCAGCATGGCTGGGGACACGTGAGGTGACATGGGGAGGCTGTCGTGTGGCACTGCTGACCCCACGAAGTGCACGGATCAGCGCTGCCAGCACGGTGCTGACGAACCCATAAATCTGAGCTCAGCAGCTGCTGAATCCCACGACTCCTTTTCAGCCCTACAAGGTGAAACCACCCAATGCAAAGGCCGAGGCTCTGGGTCACTTCCCCAGCAATGTAAGTGATGCTGAGGGCTGAGGCCAGGGGTGGGCAGAGTGCACCTGAGAACTGTTTGTTTTGAGGGAGGTCCCACGGGGCTGGGGAAACGAGGTTGTTCCTGGAGATGGAGGCGTTCCTGGAAAGGCTGGCCCAGCCTGCTCGTTCCGCACCATTTCACTCCACAGCCCTCAAGTCCCAGGTGGAGGAAACTGAGATTTCCACCTGAAAAGCTGGAAGCCCCGGAGCATCCTCCCCAGCCAGCCCTTCCTGCCGCCCTCAGCACCACCAGCGGGGGCCAGCAGGATTTAAGGGTTGAAGGGGCTGCGTGGGCTTGATCAGGCCCTGGGCCAGGCCCAGTTCTTGCTCACACAGACACAAAAGAAGTGAAAATCCCCCAAATCCTGTGCACTGGGTGGGCAGCCGGCCCGTGGGACCATGGTGCAGGGGGGCCCTGCTGCTAACGATGCTCCTGGTGCTAACGAAGCCCA